GGGGCAGAGGATGTGAGAGACACCCCCTCACCCAGGGAGACATCTGGTGTCACAGAGCATGGGGAACCATGAGAATACTGGGGTGTCCCAGGACCCAGGAGATACCCCCCCAATGGGATATTGGGGTTGCAGGATGTGGGAGACACCCCCCCACCATGGGGACACTGGGATGTCACAGGATGTAAGGGACCCCCCCCATGAGGACACTGGGGTGTCCAAAGGCCCAGGGGACCCTCCCAATGGAATACTGGGGTGTCCCAGGACCCAGGAGATACCCCCCCAATGGGATATTGGGGTTGCAGGATGTGGGAGACACCCCCCCACCATGGGGACACTGGGATGTCACAGGATGTAAGGGACCCCCCCCATGAGGACACTGGGGTGTCCAAAGGCCCAGGGGACCCTCCCAATGGAATACTGGGGTGTCCCAGGCCATGAGAGGTTCCTCCCAGAGCATCCTGGGGTGCTGCTGGATGTGGGTGACCCCCCACTGATACTGGGGTGCTCCAGGACGCAGAAGACCCCCCCTCGTGGGGATATCAGGGTGCCACAAGTCCCAGGGACACCTCCCCACCCACGGGGGTACCTGTGGGGGGGCGCCGGGGGACGATCAACGCTCTCCAGGTACGTGGCGAGCCAGGCCATGGCAGCGCTGAGCCCCCCAGGGGTCCCTGGGGTCCCTGCCGGCCCCCCCGCCGGCCCCCCCGCCGCTCCCAGTGCTCCCAGTGCCCCCGGCGGCCCCCCCGGCGCCTCCTGCTTGATGCGCTCGGGGGTGGCCTCGATGATCTGTCGCGCCAGTGTCACCACCTCGGCCTGGGGGCACAGGGGACAGCGGGACCCCGTGGCACCAGGGGTCCTCAGCTCTGGGGGGGTCCCCAGCCCTGGGTGTCCCCCTCCGTGGGGGTCCCCATTACCTGCAGGATGTCAGTGGGTGCGGCCAGGGCGTCCTCGGGGGGGCTGGGGGGCACGGCCACCCCCCAGCTCTCGTCCTCGGGGGGGCCGAGGGGGCCGGGGGGCAGCGGGACGGAGCTGGGACCCTCCGAGAGTCCCGATGGGGACGACAGGCTGCTGGCCGTGCTCAGCCCTGGGGACAGGGGGGACATTGGGGGGCTGTAGCCCTGAGAGGACACACAGGGGTTGGGGAGGAGTTGGGGAGCGCTGTGGGGACACTGGGGACACAAAGGGACTGGGGAGGACAGGGGACACGGAAGGACAGGAGACACAGGGATGGACATGAAACACAAAAGCGGGGACAGGGCACATGGAGAGGGGACTTGGGGACACCTGGGGACACAAAGAGGCACGGTGACAGGGGACAGAGAGAGACACAGTAACAGGGAAAAGGGAGGGAACACGATGCCAAAGAGGGGCCACGGGGCCGTACCTGTGTCAGGGCTGGCTGAGAGCGGGGAGGGGACACGCAGGCCGGGCAGGTGACAGCGTGGGGACACCGGTGACATCTGCAGCTCCTCCAGGCGGGTGACCAGGGCCAGGTGGCCACGGGCACGTGCCAGGGCCAGCGGCAGCCGCCCCAGGGTGTCAGGGACGGCCAGTGCCCGCCGGTCCCAGCGGCACAGCCGCTCTGCCGCCTCCCGGTGCCCCAGGGCACACGCCCACATCTGGGGGATGGGGTGGCACCTGTCACCAGCGGCCCCATAACCCCAAGGGGCCCCTTGTCCTGAAGGGTCACCCTTCATACCGCCATCCCTGCCTGAGCCACCACTGTCTCCTCCGTGCCCCCACTGTCCCCACTGTCTCCTCACCAGTGGGGTGCAGGAGAAATGGTCCACGTTGAGAGGGTCAATCTCCTGCTCCAGCTCCAGGCTGTCGACTGCCAGCGCCCTGTGGGGACAGGAGGGGACACGGACGGGTGTCACCTCCCCTTGGGGACGTGGGTGGGCGTCACCATCTCCTCGGGGACACAGCCTTGGGAGTCACCTCTATCTGGGGACACGGCCTGGGGCGACCCCCATCCCCATCCCCGTCCCGTCCCCGTCCCCGTCCCCAGCCGGCCCAGGCGTCCCCGCTCACCTCCAGCGCCGCAGTGCCTCCACCAGGCCGGCGTAGCCCTGGGCGGCCGCCAAGTGCAGCAGCGTCATCCCGCGGAACGTGGCCCCGTGGGCCAGCGCCGACGGCCCCGGCGACGTCCCCGGCCAGCCCGGCCGCGCCATCATGGCCTCGCAGACGGCCACCACCCGCGCCTCGAAGGACGAGCCCGGCCCCTGCCCCCGGGGGCACGTGTCAGGGGACAGCAGGGGACACGGGGAGGGTGGCACAGGGTGTGGGGAAGGGACTCTGGGGACAACAGGGGCTATGGGGAGTGTCAGGTAAGGGGACATTGGGGACATCAGGAGGCGCTCAGGGACACCCAGGGCACCAGAGAACATCAAGGGACACCAAGGGATTCCAGCAGATACGGCGGAATGTCAGGGGACACCAAGGTGTGATAGGGAACACTGAGGACATCAGGGGACGTGGGGGGATATCAGAGACATCAGGGGACATCTGAGGACACCAAGGGACGTTGGGGGCACCAGGGGACATAGGAGGGTATCAGAGAAATCAAGGGACACTTGGGACACAGAAGAACATAGGGGACAGCACGGGACACAAGGGGCCATGAGGGACCCCAGGTGTTGGGGAGGGGCTCACCTGCTCCGGGGGGGGATCGGAGGGGGCCCCCCGTGGGGAGGGGAGGGGTGCGGGGGGGGGCAGGGCCCCCAGCCGTGTCTCCAGCTGCTCCAGGCGCTCCAGGATGGACAGACGGAACTGGGTCTCTGGGGGAGGGGGGGGTCAGGGTTGAGGATGGGAACACAGAGCCCCCCCTTTAAACTCCCCACGCACCCCCCAGCCCCAGATGGAGTCACCCCAGCCCCTCCGGCCCCAGTCCAGGTGGAATCCAGGTGCCCCCCCCATCCCGGGGGTGCCTCTCGGGGGTCCCCACTCACCATCCAGCGCCAGCCAGTCCATCTGTGTCCCGGGGGGGCCCCTCACGGCCCCCCGTGCCCGGTACTCGAAGGGGGCGGCGGCCGTGAGCAGCCGGGGGGGACAGGCCACGCGCAGGGCGGCCACGCCGGCCTCGTGGGCTGCGGGGGGACACGGGGGGTGTCAGCCCCAGGGGGGGCTCCCCGCCAGTCCCCCCCCCTCAGGGACACTCACGGGGGCAGTAGCAGCGCAGGACGCCCGGCTGGACCAGCGCGGCCGGGACCGAGGTGCGGTCGAAGAGGCAGGAGTAGGCGCCGGGGTCCCCCCACGGGCCCGTGATCAGCACCTTCACCCCGCCCTGGGGGGACACGGGGGGTCACTGGAGGGTCGCTGGGGACACGAGGGGGGTCACTGGGGGGGTGATACCCCTCGAAGCGCTCACCTCGGGGTAGGACCACTCTGGGGAGAAGTCGGTGATGGCCACGGGGGGGTCGGTGAGAGGGGCCGGGGGGGAAGGAGGAGGGTGGGGCGTGGGGGGCGGCTCGTGGGGGTCGGGGGGGACCCCGCGCGGGTTTGGGGGGACCCCGGCATCCCCCCCCAGCAGCTCAGGGAAGGGCAGGGGGAAGGGGTGCTGTGGGGGGGCCACGTTGAGCTCGCAAGGGGGGTCCTGGAGGGCCACCCCCGGTTTTCCCTCCTCCTCCTCCTCCTCGCCCCCCGGTTTTGGGGGCACGGCGGGGGGCGGGGGGGGCGCGCCGGGGGGGGCCTCGGCCTCGCAGCCGTAGGTCTGCCCGCGGCGGGGGCTGTTGAGGAAGCAGTCAGGGTCGAAGGCGGCGGGGGGGGGCGGCGCCGTGGGGCAGGTGCCCTCGGGGGTCACCAGGTGCTGGCTGGGGGTCAGGCCCAGCGGCTGCTCGGGCCCCCCCGGCGCCGCGCCCCCCCCCAGGCTGCTCACCACCAGCAGGGGCAGGGGGAACGCGGGGCCACCACGGGGCCCCTCGGGGGCCGCCGCGCCCCCGCCCAGGCCGGGGGAGGGCTGGGTGGTGTCGGGGGAGGAGGGGGCGGGTTTGGGGGCGTCCCCCGGCACGCCCCCCCCGCCCCCCCGCTCCACTTTGGGGGAGATGATGCGGTGCTTGGTGCTGCCGCACTTGTGGCCAGGGGTGCCTGTGGGGGGCAAGGGGGGGCGACGTTAGAGAGGGACAGGGAGGGTTTGGAAGGGCCCCGGGGGGATTTTGGGGTCCCAAGGGGAGTTCAGGGGGAATTTGGGAGTGTCCCAATGGGATTTGGGGGACCCGAGGGGGGTTCAGGTGGGGAGTGTCCCCAGGGGTTCAGGGCAGTCCCAAGGAGGTCCAAGGGAGGGTTCGGGGGGTCCCAAGGTGTTGGGAGGGTCCCAAGGGGGTTCAGGGGGTCCCTAGGAGGGTTAGAGGAGGTCCCAGTGGGTTTGGGGGGGTCTCAGGAAGGGTTCTGGATCCCAGGAAGGGTTCAAAAGCTTTCCCCAGGAGTGGTTCGGAGAGGTCTCAGGGAGTTTGGGAGTCCCAGTGGGGATCCCCAGGGGTTTGGGGGTCCCACAGGGTTGGAGGTGCCCCAGGGAGTCCCAGTGGGGTCCCAGGGCACTGTGGTGTCCCGGGGACAGTTAGAGGTGCCCAGTGGTGGTGGGGGTGCCCGGAGGTGGTGGGGGGTCTCACCCAGCCCCCCGGCGCAGAGGCAGGCGTGGGTGCGGGGGGGTGGCCGGGCCTGGTGCCGCTCCAGGACGTGCTGCACCAGCTGCTCCAGGGACAGCCCGGGGGGGGCCCCCCCATTCCCGCAGCCCCACTTCACCCCGTGAACTGCGGGAGAAGGGGAGCAAAATCCCTCAGGAAGGCGGTTGGGGGGGTGTGTCCCCCTACCCAGGCCCCCCCCAACCCCCAAATAGCCACACCTCCCCTGCCACCCCAACTACATCCTGTGGGAAAGCAGGAGCAAAATCTCTCAAAAAAAGAGTTGTGGGCTGTCCTTCCCAGCCCCGCTTCACTCTGTGGGCTGAGCAAAAGGTGGAGAACAAATACACCAAAAAAGAAGTTTTAGGGTGTCCCTCCTCCAGCCCCCCCAAGAAGAGCCAGGTCCCCCCTGCCCCATTCCCACAGCCCCGTTTCACCCCAAGAATCCCACAGGGAAGGTTTCCGGGGTGCCCCCCCGGCCCACTCACACATGGGGCGCAGCTGGGCCACCAGCTCCTCCTGGGACCACTTGAGCCACTCTCGGGGGTCGGCGGTGGCGGCGCAGATCGGGGGGGTGCACAGGGGGGGGCTGCAGAGGGGGGGGGCGCAGGGGCGGCCGCACTCCTCCATGGCCGGCACGTTCAGGTAGTGAACCAGGACGATGTCGGGGTTCTGGGGGGACACGGACGGGTTCGGGGGGCTGGGGGAGCCTGGGGGCAGTGGGGGGGTCCCTGTGCCCCCCCTTACCTGCAGCAGCCAGTAGCAGCGGCGGTGGAAGGTGGGCACGATGGAGGAGTGGACGTAGCAGCCGTAGAGGCACTGGGGGGACAGCACAAATTGGGGGATCCTCCCGCCCTGACGAGACCCACAAACCAGCCTTTGGATCCCCGCTGGGGAGGCCCTCACATCCCCAAATGACCAAGTAAGGGGGTCAGACCCTCAGCTGCCCGGCTGGGGGAGCCTGACACCTCCAAACTGCCCCCCAAGGGTCCCCATCACCACCAAACCACCAACCGAGGGGTTTCCCAACATCCCTAAACACATAGCTCGGGGTCCTGGACACCCTAAACCACGCCCCTGGGGGTCCCCAGCAGCCCAAAACCTTCCCTTGAAGGTACTCAGCACCCCCAGATCCCCCCTTTCTGTGCCCTGACATGCTCAAGCCCCTCCTTGTGCAGCCCCCATCCCCAGCCACTCCCTCCCTGCTCCCCACACCCAAACCAGACACTGTTTTATGGGGGAGCGCGGGGGCATTTTTTCGGGATGCCAGGTGTTTTCGGGGGAGAGGTGTGTTTTGGGCCCCCCCCCTCCTCCTACCTCCACCCCCTGCACCTTCAGCTTCATGTGGTCCTCACGTGTCGTCTTCCCATCCTTGCGCTTCTTCCAGCAATACCCGTCCTTGCGGTACTTCACCTTCTTCCGGTTGTAGAGGATCACCGACCCATTCTGCGGCCTGGACAGCGGTCAGGTACCCCCCGGCACCCCCAGGGCACCCCCAGCCCCTCCATGGCACCCACAGCCCCTCCATGGCGCCCACAGCCCCCCAACCTGGTTTTGGGGGAGCACGAGAGCCACTCGTCGTGTTTCTCGAAGGTGATGAGGTACGAGGCGATTTCCTGGGGGGAGGAAGGGGGAACGTGGCCCATTTATGTCACACGTCACCTCCTGTCCCCCCCACTGTGTCACTCTGTTGTTCCACCCCTGCTGTCACACTGTTCTCATCGTCCCTGACCCTGCTGTCCTGATGTCCCCCCTGTCCCCAGCCAATCCACTCCTGCTGTCCCCTCAGTGTCCCTTTCCTGTGCCCCCACACCCCCTCCCATGTCCCCACGTCTCATGTATGTTACCTGCGTCCCTTCCGTGCCCCCTTCCCCTGTCCCCACATCCCCTTCTGTGTGTCGTCCATGTCCCCACGTCCCCCCATGTCCCTCCCGTGTCCCCCCCATACCCCTCCCACCTCGTTGGTGTTCCAGCGCAGCTGCTCCTTGGGCAGGACGGGGCATTTGGGCAAACACTCCACCAGCTTCCGGGGCAGGAAAACCTTCAGGTGGCTCCTCTCTGCCGGGGGGAGCGGTGAATGTCCCCCCTGTGTGCGTTCCCATCCCCTGTGTCCCCCCGTGTGTCCCCTTCCCCTTACCAGAGACCTCGGGGGGGTCCTTGTTGCTCATCTCGGGGGGCGTGCGGGGCCCTCAGGGCTCCCCTCGGGGGGCACAGGAAGGGCTGGGACCTGCAGGGACAGGGGTCACCCCCCAAAAACGGGTGATGGGGTGAGGGGACGTGAGGGGGAAAATGGGACCAGGACATCAACACCATCCTCAGCACCCCTGCCCCACCCCCCGGGGCCCTCAGCCCTCCAGCATCCCATCCCATCCCCCGTCCTACAGCACCCCACAGCCCCCCCATCCCATCCCATCCCATCCCATCCCATCCC